CCCAGATGTTAACTTTTTCCACACTTGTTTTCTCCTCCCTCCCCCTCTGCCATCTCTTTCCCTCCCTCCCTCCTCTTGTTCTCACTATGCTCTGTAGGAGAAAAGGCATTTATAACAGAATCACCATACTCTGTTCTCTAAGCTGTCATTCCTGATGTTTGGATTTAGGTTCATAAGTGACAGTGGTTATAATCATCCTCACCTCTGTTGTCCTTTCCAGGTTAGGTCACACATGTCCTTGTCTATAGTTTGTGACAATTTACATAATGCATTCCTATTTTGAAAGTTTTAAAAGTTATCCAGGAAATTCTCGAGGACTAGGTATCCTGTTGTGTTATTATTATTTTTCTAATTTGCTATTCTTACTTCATTCAGAATCTTTCTTTATTTTAACACAGTTTGATATATTTGTGTTTGTTCCACTTGGTTGTAACATGAATTAACCATTAGCTGAGAAAAATGTTTCCCCATTTTTAGAAACTGGATTTTATTCATCTGTAACTGCCTTTTTGTTCTTGCTGTTGGACCGATGCTCTATTGATTTAGCTAATGTTTTCAGAGAATTAACTAATGGTTTTATAAGCATGTGGGTTAACCTTCAATATTTTTCTTCTTAGTATGGTTTCTTATTTTCTGTATTTTTCACCTTGAACTTTTTTCCTTTTCTAAATTCTTGAAGCCCTAGTTTGTCTTTCCTTATTCAAAATAAGATAAGCATGTAAAAAAGTTTTTTTCTAAATTCTAATTTGACAGCATCTTGTAAATGGTTATTTTTATTGTCTTATTTTCAGAGTAAAAAAATAAATATTCTTTGTAACCTGGATTTCAGTAAGTTTACACAGACAATATTTAAAAGACTTTAAAAAATTGTCATGAAGTGGGACTTTTTTTTTTTTATTGATGTTTTAATAGTTTTTAACATTGTGAAATTTTGGGTTGTACATTTTTGTTTGTCCGTCACCATATATATGTCTCCCTTCACCCCTTGTGCCCACCCCCCACCCCCCATTGCCCCTGGTAACCACAATACAGTTTTCTCTGTCCATGTGTTGGTTTATATTCCACATATGAGTGAGATCATACAGTGTTTGTCTTTCTCTTTCTGGCTTATTTCACTTAACATAATATGCTCCAGGCCCATCCATGTTGTTGCAAATGGGATGATTTTGTCTTTTTTATGGCTGAGTAGTATTCCATTGTATATATATACCACATTTTCTTAATCCAGTCGTCAGTTGACGGACACTTAGGTTGCTTCCACTTCTTGGCTATGGTGAATAATGCTGCAATGAACATAGGGGTGCATAAGCCTCTTTGGATTGTTGATTTCAGGTTCGTTGGATAGATTCTCAGTAGTGGGATGGCTGGGTCATAGGGCATCTCTATTTTTAATTCTTTGAGGAATCTCCATACCGTTTTCCACAGAGGCTGCACCAGTTTGCATTCCTACCAGCTGTGTATGAGGGTTCCTGTTTCTCCACATCCTCTCCAACACTTGTTCTTTTTTGTCTTGGTGATTATAGCCATTCTAATGGGCGTGAGGTGATATCTTAGTGTTGTTTTGATTTGCATTTCCCTGATGATTAGTGATGTTGAACATCTTTTCATGTGCCTATAGGCCATCTGTATATTTTCTTTGGAGAAGTGTCTGTTCATTTCCTCTGCCCATTTTTTGATCAGGTTGTTTGTTTTTTTGCTGTTCAGTTGTGTGAGTTCTTTATATATTATGGAGATCAACCCCTTGTCAGATGTATGTTTTGCAAATATTCTCTCCCAGCTGGTGGGTAGTCTGTTCATCTTGATTCTGGTTTCGTTTGTCTTATAGAAGCTCTTTAATCTGATAAAGTCCCACTTGTTTATTTTTTCTTTAGTTTCCCTAGTCTGGGTAGGCGTGTCATCTGAAAAGATTCCTTTATGACCAATGTCAAATAGTGTGTTGCCTATATTTTCTTCTATGAGTTTTATAGTTTCAGGTCTCACCTTCAGGTCTTTGATCCATTTTGAGTTAATTTTTGTGGATGGCGATAGCAGATGGTCCATGAAGTGGGACTTTTTAATTCTACCGTTGGTATTTTTTATAATATGTAGTTTCATATTCTGAGGTAGTTTTATATAGAATTTCTGTTATTTTACCTTGAGACTTTAGAATAATAGCAGTAGAGCTGGAAGGAATTATGGAATGCAGACCAGAAGTCAGACTAGAGGCCCGTAGAGCAAATTTGTCACAATGTATTTTGATGTCCTGCACAGTATCATCTCAAAATATTAGAACTTGCTGACATTTTAAAATCAAGAGAGAGCACATGGAAATCCAGAAGATCTGGCAACACTGGGACTGAATTTCTGGGAGGTCACAACTGGCTGCAATCACTCCTCTCAGACCACTCTCCAGTTTCCCTAATCCCCACTGCTCCCTATTGCCTTTCACAGACCCATCGCACCCACTGGTACAATGTGGACCCTGCGTTTGAGAAGCTGCTGGGTCAGCCCTCCTCCTCCTTCTGCAGAATTGTCCTCTTCTTCTGAAGGGCCATCTGTGCTCTGGGCCCATCTCTTGTCTCCTCAGTGTCTTTGTCCTCTTTCCCCTGCATTCAACCTCTCTCCTTCTCACTACCTCAGTGTTTAAACACACGGAAATGTGTCCCGTATTTTAAAAAACATCTCTCTTTTCTCCTACTCACTTGGCTGCCAGTCTTTAATAGCCAGGATTGTCTTATTCACGGTGCCTACCATATGACCGAATCTGAATGATTGTTTCTTCAATAAAGGAATGACCAGATGGATGAATGCTAATGTAACAATATCCGTTCTACCTATTTTAATAGTTATTAATCTGTTTAATGTTAGCTTTTTTAAAAAAATTATTTTCTCAGTGGAATCTGGTAAATTTTCTGTCCCAAATTCATTATGTATAAATAAACTCAGAATGACAACTCCTTAAAGTATTACGAAAAATATAACAATTAAGAGGGCCAGCATTTGTGTGTGTGCACGGCTGCCATCACCTCCCCATGGGCCAAAGTACCTGGAATTCACCTTGACCCTAGAGGCTGCATCCTGAGCCTGGACTCAGACCTGGCTCCTGGAGGACTGGCAAGATCTGAATGGGTGGGGAGCCTCTGCAACAGGCACTGAGCTCTGCCGGCCTCTGGTGACATCCCCCCCAGCTCCCCAGTTAGCAGAGATGCACAGACCTCTGACTTCTATGATTTAATAGCAATTAGGCAAAGTCTCTATGTCCTTCTCAACCTCCACTCCAGACTTTATCTTGGTGGTTGGAAACCTCTACTGAATCCTGCATTCATACCTTTCTATCCTAACAAAGTGTTACCTAATTTTAAAACTTATTTTTCTGTAGTACACCAACCTTGCCCTTTAATTTCTAAACCCATTTTTTTTTTTTAGAGTTCCATCGCGTCTGTTTTCACATATGCACTAAACCTTGTAATATCCTTTAAACAAAGGAAAATGAATCACAGGCCAAACTATGTCCTATTCTAGTTTTGAAATAGTCTTTTGCCTTCAAAGAGGAAAGTTGGCAGGTAGGACCTTATTCTTGTGGAGGTTATACCACAGGTCACAGATCACAGAGGGACCTCAAAGGCCATCTGAGCCACCTCTCTTGCCCAACCACACATGGGTCAGGAGCCACTGTCAAGCCTTGAACCGGAGAATCTGTGGCCCCGAACAGCCGAGGGGGCGCAAGGCCCACCTGACGGTGTCCTATGCGGAGTGATCCAGGCTCCCGGCTGGCCACCTGATTCTGGCCGCCGTGTGCAGCAGAACAGGCATCTGACGCCTCAGAGGACAGCTCTTCCCGCCTCAATCACACTCTGTCTGTGTCCACCTCAATGTGAGTCACAGTCCCTGTCAATGTGAGGGACATCCAGCTGGCTGCCAGGACATCTCTGGGGCTGCACCTCCACACCTTCCTCTTCGCTGGGACTGGTTCTGGATTTAGAGTCACAGTTTAGGCCATAGCTAATTGATTAGTTCACATTTGATGCTTATCATTCTTCCCCCCCCCACCCCCCCGACTGAAGTCCTTGAAAGTCCTTGAAAGGGAAACACTGAGACCACAGTTCCTTTTCTCTGCCCCTTGTCCTGGGTGGTCCTTCCCACACACTGAGAGTCTGTTGTGGAGGACAGGTGGCGGTCATGGATTATAAGGACTAGGAGGAGGTTTCAGACTCTTCTAGTCCTGCTCTTCCTGTGACGGGTGCTGATTTAAACCCTCCATTTCACAGGCACCGCTTTTTGTTCTTAACCTGGCATCTGAGCCCCCCAGAGCCCGCGGGAACTGGGCAGCCCAGGGACAAGGCTGAAATACCTAGTGGGGAGGGAAGGGAGAGAGCGTTATTCTTTACGGCTCAAGCTTGTCTCCCAAGCTCACTGCCACATCCCCAGGACCTAGCGGAATTCTCAATGGGGGCAGAGGAGCCAAGGAACCGGGTGAGCCCGAGCCAGGCGGCCTTCGGCGGTGTCCTTGCGACTGGACCTCGGCCCCCAAGTCCCCGCGACTCTGGCTGAAACGTATTCTACCTCCGCCGGCCTTGGGGGTGTGGTCGCCCAGGGTGTTGCCGCGTCTCGGGGGCGCGGCGGGGGCGGGGCCGGGAGGGTGGTGCGCGCATCAGGCCCCGCCTCGCCCCGGTCGGAGAAGAATTTCCAGTCCTTGTCTGTTGAGGCCCTCCAACTCAAAGTGCCAACACCAGCACCATGACCATGACCTTGGGTTACTGGGATGTCCGCAGGGTGACCGAGGGGTCCGCGCGTGCGGCTGGGATGGAGGCGGGCGGACGGGGAAACGCTTCGCAGCTGGGGACGGGTTCTGGAAGAAAGTTCCTCTTCTGGGCTTGCTGGAGCCCAGCCCCATCCTGCCGCCTGTCCTCTAAGGTGGGCGTGTGTGCGGGCGGCTGCGGGGTGCGTGGAATGTTACCCGGAGAGACAGGGAGCAGTCAGGCCCTTCCATCTCTGACCTCTACCCCGGCCTTCTGTCCCAGCGGGCTCACGCCATCCGCCTGCTCCTGGAGTACACAGACTCAAACTATGAGGAAAAGAAGTACACGATGGGGGACGGTAAAGGCATTCTCGTGGTGACCCGACTTCTGCCCAACTCATGCTGACTTGGTTCCAGGCACCCCATGGCCCGGCCACCTGTTGCTCACCTCTGCCGCCCTCCAGCAGCTGGAGCAGGGCCTGCCCTTTCCCTACCCCCTCTGAGGGTGCAGCTCTCCTGCCAAGGCAGGATGTGGGAGGGGATTGCTGGACCCCTGTCTCAGTAATTGGGATGGGTTCCCCTAACCCTGTATGAGCCTTACTCATGTAGGTTCCAGAGCCCCATTAGCGTTCTTCCCCCCAACCTGGAATGTGAGACTCAGCGGTTCAGATGCCAGATGCCCCTGGTCAGGGGTCTTGCCACTGACTCCTTGGAAGGTTCCCCCTACATGGGAAGGAAGGTGGGACTCTGGGAGGTTTGTTTCATTCATCTTCTCCACCACAGCTCCCGACTATGACAGAAGCCAGTGGCTGAAAGAAAAATTCAAGCTGGGCCTGGGCTTCCCCAGTGTAGGTGCAGGGGATGGGGGGCTGTGGGGACACATGAGAGGCTTTTTTCTCTATCTCCTGTCCCAGCTTCAAGGGGTCAGGATATGGGGCCTTCTGCGCAGCCTCTCCGCTTCCTGGTTCTCTTCACTGCCTTCCCTGATGCTCTATGTTCTAGCTCATTCATTCATTTTACAATGTAATTATTTAGTGCCTACAAGGGTCCAGACACTTTGAGTGCCAGGTTTCATCTCTGCCCTTGCTCAAGGGAGGGTGTGCAGGGGAGCCTGGTGGCCCAATCGACCAGGTGTTGTCCTTCCAGCTACCCTACTTAATTGATGGGGCTCACAAGATCATCCAGAGCAACGCCATCCTTCGCTACATTGCTCGCAAGCACAACCTATGTGAGTGGGCTGGGATTGGGGTGCAGGGGACAGGTGGCCATGCCCTGGGCTTGGCTGGGGTGGGATGTTGAGGAGGAGTCTCTGTTGTGTGGCCATAGGTGGGGAGACAAAAGAGGAGAAGATTCGCATGGACATTTTGGAGAATGAGGTTATGGACTCTCACATGGCCCTAGTCCTGCTCTGCTAAAACCTTGACCTTGTGAGTTTCATCTCAGTGGGCTGGCTTTGGACAGGGTTTAATGAGGAGACCGAATTCTTAAGTCCAATCTACACTGTTCCTATTTGCCTTTTGAACTCCTTGGAGCTAGTGATCTTCCAAGCTGGCCCCTATACTGCCACCAGAGAGACCTCATAACCCTCAATTATATCAAACAGCACTCCTGGGTCGGACCCAGTGAGTGTGCTTGGAGACGAGTGGTGACAGATGCAGGGACAGGGTGTATTGCTCTCTGCCCTGCCATTGCCTCTCAGAGATGGGAGGTGGTCCCCAGTAGGAGTCTAATGAACACAGGTTGGATTAATTCATAGCCAGGGCACCGAACCAGGTGCCGTCAGGAGGCATGGCTGTTCACCTCTGGCAGCTTGGGTCACACTCAGCCCTGGGGATGTCTGCCCCCCTGCCCAGGGAGTCTGTGTCTGAGGGTGGTGACAGCTGTTTTGTGCCTCAGGAGAAACTGAAGCCTGAGTACTTGGAGGCGCTCCTTGAAAAAGCGAAGCTCTTCTCACAGTTTCTGGGGAAGAGACCTTGGTTTGCAGGGGACCACGTAAGAGGAAGGCTTTGGGGAACAGTAGTTTGTCATTGTTCTCAGGCTTCAGAGTTGGGCGCCCATTTATGCTTGGCCTCTCTGCAGATCACCTATGTGGATTTCCTGGCTTATGACATCCTTGATTATCTGCGTATGTTTGAGCCCAAGTGCCTGGATGCATACCCAAACCTGAAGGACTTTATAGCCCACTTTGAGGTGATTCCTTGATCATCCTTCTATTTATGTCTTCTATCTTTCCTCTTCTCCCTAATTCTTTCCTAGTTTTGTAGCTAAAATGAAGAAAACTAGCATTCATTGAGGATTGTGATATCAGGATCTGTGCTGGGATTTCACGTATATTGTGTCAAATTTAATCTTTGCCACATTTCTACTGGGTAGAAGAATTATCACTTCTATTTTACAGATAAGGAAACTGAGGCTGAAAGGATAAGTAATTTGCTCAAGGTCACAGAGGCAGGACAGGCTGTGCTGGGCCCCCTGTTAGTGTCTGGCTTCCATGGGCAGCATATGTGCCAAAAAGCAAAGACTCAGGACCTTTTCCAGCCTGCATGACACAGCTCAAGACAATGTGGATGCCGGAGAATGTTCAGAAGTTTGTATATAGCTGGCATTAGTAGAGTTGAGACATGGTAGGATTGATGTTAAGCACCAAAGACACAGATGGTATTTACTTTTGATCTCCAGGAAGTTTGGCAGGAATCGGCTCCCTGTCGGGGGAGTTCTGAGATTCCAGGGCTGTGGTTGGTGCTGGGATTTGAGTCCACATGTGGGTGCCCCTGTGGAAGGAGTTTATCTTGACCTCTTCTGTTTGGGGCACTGCCTTACCCCCGTCTCTCTTTCCTTCTTCCAACCAGTTACCCAAGATTCTGTCTCAGCGATGGGCAGTACGTTTATTTTAGGTCCCATTCACTGATCTGATCTTCTCCTGTGCATGAGGCACTGGGTCAGGCACAGTGGGGATGCAAAGGTGAGGCAGCCCTGGAGTCCAGCCTCCTGGGGCTCAGTGCAGTTGGAGAGCTACAGGAACCAGGCTGTGTGGTGCGTGTGGGCCCAGCTGGCTGCGGGAGGAGCACAGCCTGGACCCCACTCACAGCTCATCAGTGGTCACCCAGATTCCGCTCGTGGAGAGCAACAAAGTCTGCTCTATTACAGATTTGGGAATTTGAGGCATTAGTCCAACGGTTTTTAGCCTACAGTCTGTTTTCCTTTCCCACTCCACATCAGGAAATCTGCTTTGTCAGCTAATTCTCATCAGCTCTGGTTCTGGTCCAGGCTGATAGGCCTCGGGGATTATGCAAGAGCTGGGATGACTGACTGGCAGGGAGGGATGAAGACAGCTGGGGCTACAGCCTGCATCTTGTTGGGGCCTGGCCATTTGTTACCCGCAGTCCCAGGATCTTTGAATCCTTTAGAGCTTACTGGACACTCTCTATATGGGAAGATGTTGCCCAAAGACACCTGCGTGTCATACCGCCTAGTTGGCTGCAGCAGGGCTGGGAGTGAGGAAGGTTGGGGCCCAGTGAGATTGGGCCCTGAGAACACGCCAAGCAAAGGGACAGTCTCCTTTAAGAGGAATAATTAGAGTCTGGCCTGGCTTGGCTGCTCCATATCCTCCTATCAGCTTTCTCTGAGGTTTTCCTGAGTCATTGGGTGAGATCTGGGCTCTTCTGTAAGCTGCACAGGCACATTCTGAGCCCCTTTGTTCTGCTAGGGGTCCCTCTGTGTGCAAACGCTGGGAAGCCAGGCGCCTCACTCTGCAGAAGGGTAATGTGTGTGCAGACAGGGAGGACAAGGCCTCCTGTGGTGAGGAGGGGGGGGGAGTGCAGCAGAAAGAGCACAGAGCAGGAGAGAGAGCCAGGCTGCATTCCAGCCCTCCCACTTACTGGCTGTGTGAGCATGAGGAAGGTGCTTAACCTGTGTGTGCCTCAGTTTCCCTTGTGATAAATGGTGAGTGTAGGACCCATCTTGTAGGGTAGTTGTGTGGAGGTTCTATACCTAGCTCCTATGGCTAGTGGATATAGAGGACCTGGCATAGTGTAGAGTCTCTTTGTGTGGTAACTCTTACTGAGAGATCCTGTTATTTACTGGAAATTCGAAGAGTTAACTTACCAGAGCTGGGGACCCCAGGAAGACTGTCTTCTGCCCAAACACCTGCCCCCACAAGGAAGCACTGTACCCGGGTCCCAAATTCATTATGCCTGGAGTGGTGCTGCCTGAGCCCTAGTGGGGCAGCAGACCCTGCGATCTGACATTTCTTTTTCCCACCCTCAGGGCCTGAAGAAGATCTCTGCCTACATGAAGACCAGCCACTTCCTCCCATGGCCTATGTGTCTAAAGACGGCCTTGTCGGGCAACAAGTAGGGCCTTAGAAGTCCAGGAGATGGGAGCAAGGAGTTAGAGCTGTGCCAGATGTCCGCAGCCCTGAAGAACAGCTAGACCTCCGTGCACCTAGAGCCAGCTGTCTTGCTTCTTTCTCTATCTTTTCTCGCCAAATGCCTTATTGGCCCCCTTTTCTCCCTCCCTCCCCACTTTTCCTCCAAGCCCCTTAAAGCTTCAGCTCCCCACTTTTCTTCAGTGAAGCCCCCCCACCCCCCAGTATGTTATTCTTTCTGCCCTAAAGCCAGCCAGTCTGTCCTTCCCTTCATTTGTTGCTCTGCTTGAGAGGCTGGCCCAGACCCCTGGCCTGTGGAGCTCAGCCCTGAGCTCCCAGCACTGCCCTGAAGACCAGTATTGGCCTGGCATGCAGGCGTTGCTCCCCCAGTGTGGGCCCTGCCCTGCCCTGCCCTGCCAGATCCCCAGTAAAGCCTTAATCACACCTGCTGTGTCTTGTCTTCTTCCTTCTGACCACATAGACTCAGAATTTACTGTGTTGGAGGTGTGGGGGCATCCATTTTTCCTTCTGCTGTCCATTGCAGGGGCTGGGTGGATGGGGATGTGTGTGTATGTGTGTGGTGGGGGCTACAGGTGGGATTATAAGGTTTCTTGTTCATTTTGATGTCTCTTTCATCTCTGCGCCTCAGTCTGGGGTCACCACGGAAGAGGGGCCCTCTGTTCCTGGGTCTCACCTTAATTCGGCCTTCATGGATTGCCTTCTGTTAAGTTGCAGTGCTCTGTGTCATGGTTCTTGTGTGGTGGGGAAGCGAGTTGAGCAGTCCACCGGTGGTGTGGGATCTGACTACCTTCTGTCATCCTTTCTTGGTAGTTTTCCCTTCTTTAGATACCCTTCCTCTGCGCTCTTACAACATATCTCAGTAAAACATATCTCACTGTATCATAATTGTTGTTTTATTTGATTTCTTTTCCAACTTGATCAGAAATTCATTAAGGAGAGAATCTATGTTTTATTCAACTTTTTACCTCTATT